CGGATTCCGCGGCCCCGGGCGGGGTCCCGGTCCCGGCTGCTCTCAGGTCCGGAGTAGAAGGTGCGCTTCGAGGCACGGCAAACGCGGGGAGCGTTGCTCGGGGCAGCCCCGCCAGCAAACCGCCTCCCGGTGCGTCCGGTCCCGCTCCCCGGGAGCGCAGGCGGTAGGCCTCTGCCTTCGGCACGCACCAGTATCCTGGCGCCGCCCACTTTCATCAAACAGTGAACAGCATCTCCCTCTCCCTCGTCGTGTGTCGTGCCCCCCCGTGACTTGGTTTAATTCTTTTGTTTGCTTTAAATATAATTTTAAAAGGGAGGGGGGAATGTCAGCACTGTAAAACAGTAATTACTAGGGGATAAAAATAATACACCTGGGTAAATAAAAACAGAAACCGATCAAAATGTGTTTTGAATCTGAAGTTAGTAGGTTTATGTAGCTGTTTCTGGTCGCTGTGTCCGGTATGGTACGAGTCTGATTTCCGTCTTGTGCTTTGCGTGTCTGTTTTACTTCTGCTCAATTACTAAAATGGGGCTTTTCTTGTTTTGACTTTGGACCGCTTCTCCGCTCTGGATGGCCAAGTTCTCAAACTAAGTGGAATAAAATGAAATACAAAAGCTCTTCTCTTTGCAACCACAAGACAACCAGTGTTCAAAGCTGTTGGTTTTCCACAAACTTGAATTTTGGGGGCTTAGCTGAGGAGTTGTGCCTGTTTGGTGATTCAGCTTTCTTAAAGGCAAAGTGCAAGCTGGAAGTTCAGCAGACTTTCCCTTGCATTGCACAGATTCTTAGAAGTAGTAAAAAGAAAAAAAAAAAGATGTGTTTGAGATCCATCAGCACCTGTGAGGGTGTTGGAATGTTCATGAAAGACAGCTGTAAAGAAAGGCTATTCCTTGATATTTACAGTTGTGCTACTCTACAGTGCTGATGTTGTAAGAATGAATATGTAGGGAGCAGTATAAGGAACCATGGTTGCTAAAACAATTAATAAAAAATAATTACATATGTGCCTAAAGGTGCAGATTAAAATCAGGAATGCTTTATGTGCAGTAATTAGATGCATTCAAAATCACACCTCCTTTGTAGGCCACACAACTGTGCTCTCTGTTCTTGTTGAGTTGCAAATGCTTGGTGCTTCGTGAATGAAGAGGGTTTTGAAAGACGTGTGCGTATATACATATCATTTTTGGAGAAAAAAGGTTTTGTTTGACTAATTTATGTTGCCTGTGCAGCGTGAATGCAGGAATATGAAAATGAGAGGATTCATTGTTAAGCATATGCTTTATCAACAGTATTTATGATATTGTTGCTTCATATGGCTGTGTTCAAACAAAATCAGGCAACTTTCAGATATGAGGTTAAATCTGCTAGCTTGGAAGTTAATAGAGGCAAAATTAATTTATGAATTGATTTAACAGTTATTAATATATCTGCTTTTATATCAGGTACTTTTCAAGAGTGTAATGTTGCTTATGTATCCTTTAGGAAATGTCAACTTTCTACTTCAGCGAGAAATTAATTCTTATTTGGTACGTAATGTGGAAAACTTCTTTTCTTGGTTGCAGACAACTGCGAATGAGGTGAACGCTGGAGTGGTAACAGATTCCCTGTTGACTGTGTGAATACGGAGTGGGGAGCACAAGGATGGAGTCTGGCATGGAGGAGATCCCAGTTAAAGTTGCAGTTCGAATCAGACCTCTGCTTTCCAAGGAAGTACTTCATAACCACCAAGTGTGCGTGAGATTAGTCCCAAACACACAACAAATTATCATCGGGAAAGACCGTGTCTTCACTTTTGATTTTGTGTTTGGCAAAAACTCAACCCAAGAAGAAGTTTATGCTGTTTGCATTAAGCCTCTTCTAGTGTCTTTGACTGAGGGATACAATGCTACAGTGTTTGCATATGGACAGACAGGTTCTGGGAAGACGTACACCATCGGAGGTGGCCACATTGGTAGGTTGTAGAAAGTTTGGGATTTTTTTCTAAAACTGGTGAACAGTGTATTTGTGCAACATAAGTATTTAATACATAGCAGATGATGCTGCAGAATTTTTAAGGGCTAGTGAAAAAAGATACGGAAAAAAGAAATGCTTCCAAAGTTTATGTGATAATTGAACTGTTCTAAAAACAAATTCTCCATAAATTAGACTATACGAAACATATCTAAGAAAAAAACAATTTGTAAAATGTCCTTTCTCATCCCCTATTTTAAGATGCAGCTTAAACTAGAATTTCTTCCTGAAATGGAGTGTTTTGGAGATTCTTGCTACGTTTATTTTACCTTGAAAATGTCTGCTTTAGGCAGTTAATTGTTTGCTTGCAAACTCTTTGGTTCATACATAGAAATGTATGATTAAAGTCTTCCAAATGGATATCAATAGATTATTGTAAATTTCTTGGTAGGTATTAAAATCCTCCTTTTATTTAGAGTCATAGAATCATTTAGATTGGAAAAGATGCTCAAAATCATTGAGTCCAACCGTTAACCTAGCACTGCAAAGTCCACCACTAAACCATGTCCCTAAGCACCACATCTACACTTCTTTTAAATACCTCCAGGGATGGTGACTTCACCACTTCCCTGGGCAGCCTCTTCAGTGCTCAACAACCCTTTTAGTGCAGAAATTATTCCTAATATCCAATCTAAACCTCCCCTGATGCAACTTGAGGCCATTGCCTCTCATCCTATCACTAGTGACTTGGGAGAAGGGACCAGCACCTGCCTCACTACAACCTCCTTTCAGGTAGTTGTAGAGGGTAATAAGGTCTCCCATCAGCCTCCTCTTCTCCAGACTAAACAGCCCCAGTTCCCTCAGCTGCTCCTCACAGGACCTGTTCTCCAGACCCTTCACCAGCCTCGTTGCCCTGCTCTGGACACACTCCAGCACCTCAATGTCTTTCTTGTAATGAGGGGCCCAAAACTGAATACAGGACTCGAGGTGTGGTCTCACCAGGGCTGAGTACAGGGGCACGATCACCTCCCTACTCCTGCTGGCCACACTATTCCTGATAGAAGCCAGGATGCTGTTGGCCTTCTTGGTCACCTGGGCACACTGCTGGCTCATGTTCAGCCGGCTGTCAACCAACACCCCAAGATCCTTTTCCGCCAGGCAGCTTTCCAGCCACTCCTCCCCAAGCCCATAGCATTGCATGGGGTTGTTGTGACCAAAGTGCAGGACCTGGCATTTGGCCTTGTTAGATGTCATACAGTGGGCCTCTTAATTGAGCTTACTGTTATAACTTCACTTGTCTTTCCTCTACGAGTAGTTATTTAATGTTCTTGTAAGTA